GGTAATATTAGTCAAACGTTATGTATATCGAGCTTCAGAAAAACTCGGACTGCGACAAGAGTTGCTGATGTTCCGTTTCGTGCTCGGCACAGGACGAGCACATGGGCAAATCATATTCCAGCTACCAGAGCAGGAAGTTTGTTTGGTCTCAGCCTCCTCGTTTCATTTTCAGAATATGGGTTGCTCTCAGCATTGGATTTTCCATCACTCTAGTCGTTTTCTTCGCAGTCATTATCTGTCAAGTTTTGGCTTTGATATTCGCCTTGTACATCGTTTTCACGCAGCCAACTCGAGTCCGCGTGGTCAGTTTCATGAAGAATTTGTTTGGGTTTTTGTTGGTTTTTGTGATCTCACTGATCTGGTTGCAATGCCGATTATTATGGCGGTGGTCAGAAATCAGTGCGGGATTCATTTGTTACAGATTGATAAGTAATTTTGCTGTAGTATTGTAAAATTGTTTTAACACAGATCGGCGCGTGGTGTAGCGTAAAATTAGTCTGAAGTTGCTTGATTCAGACTGATCAAGCCACACTTTCTGTTCCTTGTTTAGACGATCGGTTGGCTTTACAGGTTTACGTGCAGGAACCTGAACCAAAACTGACTCGAGAAATGTTGAAACGTCACGACTTACCCTATGGCATGCGAAAGGATCGGCAGGAAAATTACTATTGATACACTTTATTCACTTTTTCCATGATAATCTCACCACCTCACTTGTTAACTCACTTATTTCTGTTGTTGTGATATGCGCATTTCCCACATCTCATGTCTTGATAGGAACGGAATGGAAATAAGTCAGTTGTTCTTACTTTCTTTCATTTCATACTACTGTGCTCGAACACTGCATTTGTTCCGATTTTCACCTCATTCTTCTTTTTCTTCTTTGTCTGTATATACACTAGATCATTTTGTAATTTACATCGTGCAGTCAATATCATATATCGTGCAATATCATAAAGCTTAAATGTCTGTTGTATGTACATTTTCTAGTTGTTGTTGGCTACGCTGGTACCTTTCACCTTTAAATTGCTGAGATTGCTTTCACAAAATAATTCTCAGGATGGAGCAGGATACACCTTACTTTAGTCCAAGTAGTTCATATCTGGCCGATCAAGAACACTACGAGCTGCAGCAGGTATGTGCTATAAATTGATGAGATCAGTGGTAGCTTTTACGAGGGCAATCAAATATCTCACCGATGCGAACCGTCTACTCAGTATCAAACTACGAAGTTGGGTCAGCTATCTAGTATGTTAGCTAGCTCGCTCTCTGGACGATATGAAGAAGCTGATCTGACCACGCCTTTGCATGTAAATAGAAACAGCGCAGCGACCAAATACCACCCCCTCACTGTGAAAAAGCTGTAGCCATCATCCCCATATCTTTACCAGTCACTATAATTTTTTAAATTCATCAATTTGTAGCGCGTGGAAGCAGCCGCCAATCATGTTTTGATGAACTACGATCGCATAATGAATTTACCCGATGTGCGTGTAGGTAGGTCGTGATTGTCGTGTTTCCATCTGAACGAGTTTGGTTTCTTTTTCTAGATATTGAGCCTGCTGAAGGTGTTTCTCGTGAACAAGGCCAGTCCTCGCAAAGCACCTCTGCAGAAGGTAGCGAGCAGGGTGAATCATATTTTACACTTTCGTAAAAAACTCTTGCATATGCTTATAGGAGCACGTTCCTCTCAGTCTATGCGTGAAGCAGCCGATAGGTTACGTGGCGAGTATGCTCGATTGCAGCAAACAATTAACCAGAATCAAGATGCTCAGACAGTAAGTTTTCAGCATAGCCAATATCATGGAAATAAGTAAAATTTGAAGTCAGCGCTCGTCGCGTTCTTCATTGAAGATTTTTAACAGGGGGGGGGGCATATATCGGAAGATTACATTAACTTACGACATTGCCCGAAAGGAAGAAATCCCGAATTTTTGTGGTAATTCCTCACTAATGACTTTTTAGTTGTGTACGATGGTCACGGCTATCGTCCCTTTCGTCCTGATTTTTGTGCTGAAAATGGTATTTGATAATTTTCTGTCCATTTTCCGAGTTGTCACTGCAGTGGGAAGTTTTATAACTATTGACTCAAGAGTCCAGCAACTGTTTTCAGCAGGTAAAGTGCTTTTCTCTTATTTACTACATTCCTAGTTCTATTTTGGTTGTAGCACGACCATCCAAAAGTCTGCGTATAACTTCCGTGCTAATCTTTGTTGTCTTATTCTACTTCACTTCGGGTCTATACATCTATGATGATGGCTTTGAATTGACTAATGCACTGCTTCTCCAATATGCGGTGAGGTTTCTGGAGTAGTGGATCTTTTGCTGCTCGGAAGAGTCTCTACTTATTCATTGCAAAATGAGAAATTTTCAGGGTGTTGTTTATCATGGTTTCTCTTTTACTATTTTTGTTCTCATAATCACCGACACTTTTGTGAAGATGCTGGTTGCGGGCTCAAAAATGATCGTGAGTTTTTGATGATGAGTATAGGGAATCACAAAATTGGACAATGGTTTATTGCATGTGCCGCTTACGCAGTTTGGCAAGCGCATTAATTGGCATTTGTCTCTACTCCAACTGCTTACAAACATATGTTCTAGATACTACAAGTCCCTGAGCTGACCACCGAAGCGATATTTTTGTTTGTATTTTGGTAACATAGGGGTCTGCGCGAGCAGTCGAATTCCTTGTCACAATTCAATGAATTCCCTGTACA